ATTAATTAATGGGATAATGACTCAATCAAAAATTTTAAACTTATTTTCTTTCCACGAATTTAGGAATTTTAGATCTGATCAGTTTCAATATAAATAACTGTTATTTTCATTTTTTTTGTTTTCTTTAAAATTTACTTAAAATGATGAGTTGAAAATTAAAAAATGACATGGATAAAGATGGAAGCACCTTAATCAAAATACAAAGTGTTTTAATAAAAAGTTGAAAACCCACAAATGTTTAATTAATAAGATGCATAATTGGAGCGCTTTTATCTAATTTTGCCAAAAAATATTGAATTAGCTTTGCTGTTGCGCAGCAGAACCAGACACCGGACAGCAGCAGCAGTGGCGAACCAGTCGGGTTTTCCAGCGAGGGGAGAGGCTGAACCAGATCTCCAGTCTTATTTTCCGGCGAGATGAGGGGCTTCGCCTCAACACATACCTTGTTAAAACCAGGTGTAATGGCAAAGAGCTTGACAGGAACAAAAGCACGACAACTTCAATATGCAGGGAGAATCTTTCTTATTGAATTAGAAAACAATCATGGCTATTAAATAGCCTTGAAAACAAACTGAATGGGAAATAACAACCACGACTTTACAGCCCTAGAATCGTGGAGAAAGACTAAGTCCAAAACAGAAGATAACATGTCCCTTAAGACTAGGGATTATTATGCATGGCTTCAAACCACTACGACCTAGAAACAAGGAAAACCTAACCCTATCAGCTAGGAGATCTTAACAACTTTAACATCCTCCCTTCAACTGAATTATATCAGCATTCAGTTTACCCCTGGACATTCGCAAATACCCATGAGATCACGCATCTTCACGAACACTTCGAGCCTTAGTGGTTTTGTCAGGATATCTGCAATTTGCTCCTGAGTTGAACATTGCACTAATTCAACAACTTCATCTTTGACGAGATTTCGAAGAAAATGAAATCGTACGTCAATATGTTTGCTCCGACCATGCATGACTGGATTCTTTGACAATTTAATTGCTGAAACATTATCGCAATGAATCACCGTTGGTTTGTATTGACCATGATTAAGCTGCTCCAAGATTCTTCTTAACCACACAGCTTGACAAGCACTAGATGCTGCAGCGATGAATTCAGCCTCGGTAGTTGAAAGAGTGACTACTGGTTGTTTCTTTGAAGACCAAGAAACTGCTCTTAAACTTAGAGTAAAAACATAACCAGATGTGCTCTTTCTATCATTCTGATCACCAGCATAATCGCTATCTGTGTAGCCAACGAGTTCTTCAATTTCTCCCTTTTTGTAGAACACTCCAAAACTGATTGTACCCTTCACATACCGTAGTACCTTTTTCGCTGTTTGCAGATGTGTTTCTGTAGATCGTTCCATATATCTGCTGACCAAACTCACGACAAACATTAGATCAGGACGAGCGGCAGTCAAATACATGAGGCTTTCTACTATTTGTTTGTAGAATGTCTCATCAACTCTTACTCCATTTTTATCCCTGGTTAATTTAGAACCAGGAACAATCGGATTGTGCATCGGATTGCACTGATCCATACTGAACCTCTCCAGAACCTTCTGAGCATACTTCCGTTGATTGATAAAGATACCATCCTCTCTTTGCAAAACTTCAATCCCAAGGAAATACCTCATCTTTCCAAGATCAGTCATGTCAAATTCATCCATCATGGATTTTTTAAAGCTTTCAAACATGGTCTCATCATTACCAGTGAATATAAGATCATCAACATAAAGGCACACAACCAAAAATTTACCTCCACCGCCCCTTTTAATGAACAAGGTGTGCTCATAAGGACACTTCTCAAAGCCTTCCCGACCAAAGTAAGTTTCTATTCGACTGTACCAAGCTCGAGGGGCTTGTTTGAGCCCATACAGCGCCTTCTTGAGTCGATATACCTTAGCTTCCTGTCCCTGTTATTCATAGCCCGGTGGTTGATCCACGAATACTTCCTCATCTATCTTTCCATACAGAAATGCAGATTTAACGTCTAGTTGGTAGATGTTCCAGCTCTTGCATGCAGCAAGTGAGATAACTGCTCGAATGGTATCCAAACGAGCTACTGGTGCAAACACCTCGGCATAATCCACTCCATACTTTTGACTATACCCTTTCGCAACAAGTCGAGCTTTATATTTGTCCACTTCACCTTTTTCATTAAGCTTCGTTTTAAAAACCCATTTGACTCCGATCGTTTTTACTCCAGGTGGAAGTTCAACAAGTTCCTATGTGTTATTCTTCATGATAGCTTTGATCTCTACATCCATGGCATATCTCCATTTGTCACTCTTTACTGCTTCCTCGTACGTCAAGGGATCATTGTCAGAAAATAGGGCTAGATGAGCCATATCACCGTGTTCTTCATCAGATAGGCCCTGACCACTTACATAATCTTACATCCACGTTGGTGGTCTTCGACTTCGTGTAGCATGAAAAGTGTTCCCATCAATTGAAGACTCTCCTTCTTCGAATGAGTCACCTTCCACTGATCGACTTACAATTATTTTTTTGGCAACGGGATCAAATAATCTATAGGCTTTAGATTCTTCACTTACTCCAAGTAGTATACATTTCAGACTTTTGGCATCAAGCTTGACTCTCTTGCTATCACATATATGGACCTGGGAGATGCATCCAAAAACCTTAAAGTGACTTACTGAAGGCATGTGACCACTCCAGGCTTCTTCGGAAGTCTTGCTTCTTACGGAAAGTGTTGAACTTCTATTCAAAACTTGTACTGTCCAGTTTACTGCCTCAGGCCAGAATTTCTTTGGAATTTGTTTCTCTGATAGCATGTTGCGCACCATATTCATGATAGTACGATTCTTTCTCTCCGCGCCCCCGTTCTGTTGAGGTGTATATGCAGCTGTTAATTGACTTTGAATACCATTCTCATCACATAAGTGAGTGAATTCTTGTGAAGTAAACTCCCATCCGCGATCAGTTCGAAGATTCCTTACGAATGCACCAATTTCTTTCTCGACCCTAGCTTTATAGGACTTAAAGCTTGCAAATGCTTCTGATTTTCAACCAAGAAATAAACCCAAGTTTTTTTCTGCTAAAGTCATCGATAAAGGTTATGAGATACCTTTTTTTGCTATTCGATATTGGATTTATCGGCCTGCATATGTCTGCATGCACAAGCTGAAGCACTCCGGATGCCCTCCATACGCTTTCCTTTGGAAAAGGATCGCGATGTTGTTTTCCAATCAAGCAGTCTTCACAAACATTCAAGGGAGCCTTCAACTAAGGCAGTCCATGCACCATATTCTTATATTGAATCACCTTGAGACCAGTCCAACTAAGATGACCATAATGACGATGCCAGAATTGAGTTTGATTTGCAGTTATAGTGGAGAAACAACTTTCCTTCTTTGATGGACGTCGACCAATGACGACGAACATTCTATTACATGTCATCTCGGTCTCCATTAATAAACCTCTTTCAGGATGGTAGATCTTGCATTTTTTGTGTTGCATGACGACCGCAAGACCCTTTTCTTGAAACTGTCCGATGCTTAGTAGGTTGTTCTTCAACTTGGGTACAAAGAACACTTCAGTAATCACCTGCACGATCCCATTCATCTCCATGCGAATGTTGCCCTTTCCTAGCACAGTAGGACTCGTATCATTACCCAGCTTCACTGTTTCTCTGAAGTTATTGTCGAACATTGAAAACAACTCTCTTTTCCCACACATGTGATTGCTACATCCCGAGTTAAGAAACCACAGGTAATCTCTTCTAGCATCAGTGTCGTCTACATACGCCATTAAAAGCATCTCTTCACTAGTCTCGACAAAGTTGGCCTTTGTAGCTCTTGCTCTTTTGGGACATTCCCACTGAAAATGGCCTAACTCATGACAATTGTAACCTTCTAAGGTAGATTTATCAAACGTACCCCTTCCTCTCCTTCTTCCTCGGTACGAACTTTTTCCACCACTTCTTCCTCCTTGCTGAGGGCTGTGAGTGATCTGAAAGGCTTGTTCTTCCATAGTGTGGCGGCTGATCCATTGTTCATGCACCAAAGACTACTTTAAAGCTCATCTATGGATAAGATATCCAAATCATTCGATTCCTCGATTGAACATACCACATAGTCGTACTTGGAAGTCATGGATCACAGGATCTTCTCAATAATCACCACATTTTCCATCATTTCGCCACGAATTCTCATCTTATTGGCTGTGGTGAGAGTTCTCCCAAAGTAGTCATTCACCGATTCCCCTTCTTTCATGTGTAGCATTTCAAACTCTTTGCGAAGAGCTTGAAGTTGAGCACACTTGACTCGTGTTGTCCCTTGATATTTCTGCTTCAAGGAATCCCAAATATCCTTCGCTGTATCCTTTTTCTGTATGGTCTCCAGAATGGAGCGATCAATGGCTTGGAACAGATAGTTCTTGGCCTTTAGATCCTTCAACTTTTGGTCCTCAATCACCTTCTTCTGTCCCTCAGTGAGATCCGTCCCTTCTGCTACTGCAGAGATCCCAGTTTCTATCAAATTCCAATATTCCTTTGAACGCAGAAAGTTCTCCATAAGCATACCCTAGTGATCGTAATGGCCATCAAACCGTGGGATAGCCGGCTGCACAAAGCTATTCTCGCTTGTCATGTTACTCCTTCTTGCTGATTGTTATGGTACAAACTGTTGGTCAGGCCCCGTGATGGGGCTCTGATACCAGATGTTAAAACCATGTGTAATGGCAAAGAGCTTGACAGGAACAAAAGCACGACAACTTCAATATGCAGGGAGAATCTTTCTTATTGAATTAGAAAACAATCATCGCTATTAAATAGCCTTGAAAACAAATTGAATGGGAAATAACAACCACGACTTTACAGCCCTAGAATCGTGGAGAAAGACTAAGTCCAAAACAGAAGATAACTTGTCCCTTAAGACTAGGGATTATTATGCATGGCTTCAAACCACTACGACCTAGAAACAAGGAAAACCTAACCCTATCAGCTAGGAGATCTTAACAACTTTAACATACCTATCAACTCACCAAACACCAAGATATATATATTCATAGATTTTTGCAGAGTTACAATTCATCCAACAAAAGGAAAAAAAAAATACTACTACTCAAATAGTAATTGGACATTCTTGAATCTTTGGAAGCAGAACTCATTGTCATCAGTACGACGATCAACGACTCTTCCTCTCACTACAGCTTAGGCTCCGCACCAGTTTAGGCAGACAGCAATATTGTGCAAACAGTGTAGCTTTTCTTGTCCTGCTGGGATTCGAATTCGTTTTCGGAACTGTCACACTTCTGAAAACTATGTCCGCTACAGACTCATACGATAAACTTTTATTTGCTGAATTTTGTGGCAGGTCGAAAATGGAAGGTTCGTCTTCTGATCCATCACCGTCGCTCTCATGGAACAATTCAATCAGCTGCTTTTTCGCATCAGTTTTTATTTCATGGTGTTGCTTGCAGATGGGGTAAGATCTGCATAAAATAAAATATAAAAAAAAAAACCAAAAGTCGAACTCGACATAACATTTTCTGGGGAGATTGTAAAAATATTGGTGAATTTTACTTGATCTTAGTTCTTACCACCATTGACACTGAAGAAATCTTCACGATCAGATTCAAACTCTTTCCCACCTACAAAGTAACAAGTATATACTCAAAACAGTAAAATGCGATAAAATCGAAGTTTTCCGGCTACAAGTACATGATAGCCATGAATTTAGCAGGTCGAGTTAGTGTAGAAATACTTGGTTCTTGAAAACTGCTCGCGCGGGGGATGGCGGTACCAAGGGAGTTTTCTCGAACAGGGAGTTCAATCAGGATGCATTCTGTCAGGGAATTGCTTGAACATTTGAGATTTGAAGCAGAGTCTTGGGTCTTATGAACTGGAACACAATTTCCCATCTCTTCAAGAAGATGTGGAGGGTTTGTTACATGGTTGGTTTTGTACATTAAGGAAGTGACACAAGGTTTGTTTGGCGCAACTATAATCTGGTGAACAAGTTTATTGGTCTTGAAAGCTAAGCATTGGCTTTTGCAGTCCTTGGGTCCGACCATGTAAAATCGTTAGCATTTGAGCAACGGTCACTTTCCAATCAACGAAAGCTTTTGTTTACTTGTAGGGCATCGATTGTGGGAGGTGCTAGGTAGTGCTTTCCGAAAGTTGAGTTCTTGTGTAGGGGGAGCTTTCATGCCACGTTAATTGCAGTCTCTCTTACTTTTCACTTTTTTCTCAAAGTCTAATTTGGACCAGTTTTTGTGAACGATAGCGAGAGAAATATGTTTTCTCACTGAAATTTTTTTCGCTTAAAGTCCACTTTGGCATTGCTGTGTATATGAACCTGATTATTTCAGTTTCCAGGATCTTGGAATAGGATATACAACTTAGAAATCAAAGTTTTAAAGTCGTATTATAAATCTCGAGTGGATCGGAGCGTAACACATTGTTCGCAGGTCTTATGGATTGTTCTGAATCCATGGCGAGTTACAGCACAAATCGATTTAGTGGTTTGTGTTAACATGTTAACGATCGACCACAAAACTAGGACTGAATCGAGTAAAAATACTATATACAATTGGCATTTACAAGCCAAGTTTCTTTGGCCTCAAATATGTAGAAGATCCCTTGTGCAAACCTGGCATCGAGACTTGCTGCTGCTGCTTTGATCTCTTTTCCCTCTCCTTCCGCTTGCTTTCTTTCTCTTCCTCCGCTTGAGTTTTCCTCAGGTTCTCCATTTCCTCCTCCATCGCTGTTTTCTCCTCCTTTTGTCTCTTCTTATGCTCCAGCGATGTATCTGAATCCTTCACAGAAAAGAACATGGGCCCCAACTCGGCCAACCACTGCGGCTCCACCGCTGTGGCGCACTGCATGTACTCCTTTGCCGTCAAAATCAGTTCATGATAAACCACATAATCTGGAGTGCACCCCATACCGTAAAGAGCACTGCTCGGATGTAAATGGCATGGCATCCCGGTCCTGCAGTTCACATACTCCCCAACTCCCTTCAATCTTGCAGAATTGTGGAAGTACGAGGAGCATATAGCTTTTCTCACAAGATCAGTATCGGGCCAACAGGATGTTAGAGGAATTTTTAGCGTCTTCAGGATCTCCAGCAGTTGGGACCTCACCTCTCTAGCCTTTCGTAAGCCTTTAACATGCAAAAAATGATCTCCACACCAGTCCCCCCGATACTGATGTTGTTTCCACTGCTGGTACACATTATACAGCGTCAAGTGGTCAGATTCTGGAACAGAGAACTTCTCCCTTGCAGCATCGCTCTCCTCTGCCCTATCTTTAGGCCTAAAGAACACTGATGGCACCGAAAGCATAGACACAATTGTCAGAACCTCATCCAGGCATCCAAGCTGATCGCCCATCAATAACATCTTAGCAAGCGGGGGGTCCAATGGGAACTCCACCATCTTCCAGCCTAGTTCAGTTAAGCCTCCGACATTGTTCAGAGCACCTAAGACCCACAATTGGTACATAGAGTTGAGAATATTGTCCTGTGGAGGTGGGTCCATGAAATCAAAGTCTAACAAGTTCTCAACCTTAAGACTCTTGAGCAACAACACCACATTACCAAGGTTAGTCCTCTGAATCTCTGGCACAGGACTAGGCAGCAATTCATTTAGATATGCATTCTCCGTGTACAGCCGATAACATGTCCCAGGCCCAGTCTACCAGCACGCCCAGCACGCTGGTCAGCAGCTGCACGACTAACAGGAAACACTTGAAGAGCATCCATACCCATTCGAGGATTGTATACCTTCATCTTACCATAGCCCGTATCGATCACGTAATATATTCCATCCACAGTCAAAGAAGTCTCAGCAATGTTGGTTGCTACAATGCATTTACGAGCTCCATCCTCAGCTTTTTGAAATATCTTTGCTTGCAAATCAGCAGGCAACTGTGAATATATAGGGAGTATCAAGAGTTTTGGAACTGCTTTTTTGGAGGACGAGATAAGTTGTTCCATCCGCTCGGCAAGCGCATAACAAGCTGCCTCAATCTCATCTTGGCCTGTCATGAAGATGAGGATATCACCGGGAGGGCTCGTGATGTGAATTGTCATGGCCTGCTTCACTGCACCTTCAACATAATCTTCACAAGGGGTTTTGCTGAACAAGATATTTACAGGAAACGTTCTCCCAGGAATGTGAAAAATTGGTACACTGCAACAAAATAAATAGTCATATTAAGCAAGCAGAGCAAGTTGATGTGAAAACGATGACAACAGTACAAATGAACTAAATTACCTCCCAAAGAAATTTGAAAATTTCTGAGCATTTAGAGTTGCAGATGTCACAATGAGCTTAAAATCACGACGTTGGGCCACCACTTTTTTCAAAATTCCAAACAGCACATCTGTGTTTAGTGACCTTTCATGGGCTTCGTCCATGACAACTACACTGCAAAAGCAAAAACCTTGGCAGTAAATAATTTTGTGCTGAATGTAAATTACCAGTTAAATTCAGAGATAAAGAGCCTTTCCAAAATTTGGAAATTTTCATACCGGTATTTGTCAAGATCAGAATCTCTGAGTGTTTCGCGCAGAAGTACTCCATCAGTCATGTACTGCAAGATTAAAAAGGCAAGATTTAATATAATGATGTAAAGGTTATGACCGTAGGTAAGCTGTACTTCTCTATAAAATATGGGCAAATATTGGTTTAAAAAGCAGACAAAAGAATTACCTTTATTATGGTATTTGGCCCAGTCACATCCTCAAAACGAATAGCATAGCCAACTTTATCACCAAGCTCAGTCTCCATCTCTTCACTTACTCTTTTTGCAACACTCATGGCTGCTACACGCCTTGGTTGGGTGCAACCCACTATACCATTTACTGTGTATCCATCTTCATAAAGATACTGTCAACATAATCAACATAATGAATGCCAGTTAATGGAGTACACCGTTCATATGCATCCACTCTCATAAATCCAAAAAAATGAGAGAGAATTTGATGATACAATATTAATAAAAGCAAACTTACCTGTGTCAATTGAGTTGTCTTTCCAGAACCAGTTTCTCCAACAACAACAATAACCTGATTTTCTCGAATTACCTATCCAATGGACATTAAATCAGGGTTAGAATATAATGTTTAAATATACGGCCTAATCAAGTGGAAGGGAGAGATCAGTAAACAAAACATCAGCATCACAGGTCACTGAAACTAATTAATAATGACAGTTCGAATTCTCAATGGAAGGGAGAGATCTGCTAGATATTATTTCTTTCCAAACCAAACAAAGTATTAGGCACAAACAGATAAACATTATACCTGCAATAACTCATCCCGCACAGAAAATATGGGCAAATATTGTCGTTGCTGTGAGAGTGTTTTTGACAATGCAAAATCACTCACAGCCTCCCCGCTCTTCATATGTTGTGCAAACTTCGCATCTTCTTTGAAATCAATTTCACCATCTTCACCTACTGCAGCAGTATCCGCATCAATCTAGCATTAAATAAAAATGAAATGCTTAGTCCCAAACCTTAATAGTGCAAGGCAAAAATCAGAACTTCCTCTCATAAGTTCAATATACCTGCTCCGCCGTTTTTTCAACACCAAGGATATCACCCAGTTTGGAACCTGCAAGCTCCCAGAAACGTTGACGTGATTTGTTCTGACTTTGCTTCTCATGGATTTCCCTAACCAGAGCAGACCCTTTGCGTGAAATTATGGCCATATCCGATGTGGGATCCTTTATAGGCATTATGGGCTCTGCTTGTTTGGTAAAAACAACCCTGCCATCCAGGAAAGGAGGCTTTGTATCTGGGATAACATCATAACAGTAGTAGATATTATAGCAAACAGAGATTTCCATCTTCTATTCATAAACAGAAAAGCAAATAGTTCATCAATAAAGTGATATGGCTAGTTATGCATTTATGCTATTTTCTTACCATGGACAAGAAGAATGACTCTCCGTTCTTCTTCATCATCAAACTCAGTCTGCACCTCGGTACCTCTAACAGCACCAGATCTTAAAAGTTGACGATCCTCCCACTGAGCATTATCAGCAGTGAGTTGAGACAACTTTTTGCTCTGAGCAAGAGACATCTTAGTTCCATCTTTTCGGACCTGAAAAGAAAAACAAAACATATAGTGACCATGACAGAAATACAAGCATAGCCAGTACACTTCGGCCAATATACAATCTGACTTAAGATAATAAATGAATAAATTTGGCCACTAAACAAGTTAGACTGAGATAACAAATCAGACAGGTAACAATCAGAGAGATGACTGAAATTTTATTTAAAAGTACAACTGATGTGAGTATTTATCATATTTACAAATGTTACTAAATAATGTTAGAGCATCAACGATTGGTTATTTTCTATGACTTTACATCACTCTCGAGTTCACATTCTCATCCAAGAGGATAATCACTTACTAGCCTCCTCCACCTTAGGAAGCCATCATCATTAGAAGAATAAAGAAGATACTTCCAGTCCTTTAGTCCACTCTCTTTTTAAATAAAAAGCACTGTGTAATACTCATTCATCAACAAAAATATAGTTCAGATAAAACTCTGCAAATTAAAGGAAAAAAAACAATCAACATACCAGCCTTTTCGCCAACTCTGCTTCCTTCTTTTGAAAAGAAGCATCGTTTGCATAAAACAAGGACGAGTCATCAGTCGTATCAAACATTGTGTTTCCTTCTTCTCTATCATACCTGTATAACAAGTTTATGAGTCAAATGAAGTTCAAAACTAAGTTGCCCTACTAAATCATAACATGAGGTCCACAAGGGAAATACAGTGCAGCAACAAAACATTATGTGTGTAGCTACTACTTAAAAGCTGACACGAAATAGTAGGGTTGTTCTAATGATAACACTATTAAGATGTTTTACTGTTTAACAAAACAATTGTGAAAATTTGTACAAATGATGTGCAAAATTTAGCACAGTCAAGGCAAAATAATATTGACAGATTGGTGCTCTACAGGGGATCTCTTTTCCCAGGAAACGACCATCACATTTGATCATCCCCTAAACTTGCTTTTGAGGACATGATTTAAGGTTCATTGAGGAAAAAAAAAACTTATCTGAATTAACTTACCATGCACGATCAGAATTGTATTCCATCTCTTGACGCATGCTTTCAGTAATCTCGTATGTGTGTTCTTCGGCCAAATTATCTTCTTCCCCATCCTGCAAACAGGACTATCACTGATCATTGACACAGCCAAAACAGGCGAAAAAACTCATTCAACAATCTACAAAAATTAACCACAAATTCACAAAGAAAACATACCTTGAATGATTGTGAACTTTCTGAAGAAAAAGGAAGTTGATGGGACCTCGCACCATATTTCGAACTTGAAGATTTGACTGAGTATCCAGAAGCACGTATTGGAGCTGGAGAGGGAGAGACATGATCCCAAGGAGAAGCAGCAGAACCTGTTGTAATTCTAACCGGGTTAAATCTAAAAATGAAGATAAAATGAAAACCAACCATCTCTATCATAAAGGAAAAATAAATCCAAATTTGTTCTTTTCCAATCAGGTTGATGTTTAAAGATCATACCAGGTGTATGGCCACCTAACCATGGGGAAACTAGTCGTGCATCAGGTGAGGCACCAAGCAGCATAGGTGCCGGTGATGGTTGATGTCGCCTACTGGTATTAGGGTAGTTATCACGTCGTGGTGACTCCTCCCATTCCCATCTCCCATCATCCCAGTCAGATCTGCCTGCAACATTTGCAAATATGGCATTAGAGACAGCAATATCCATGTAGTTACATAACTTAAGCTACATCTTATTATATAAGCTGCCTCCCACATGTACCTGTGACAAATAATTTAAATAAAAGAAGCATATGAGAACTCATTATTCTACGGTTTCCAATAATAAGTATAAGGAACCCAATTGTAAGCTCAAAGTATAGGTTCCTTGAAAGGAAAACCTACATAAAAGTTTCCGTACATAAGAGGGATACACTATTTCGATGTCTGTCCTCTTTTATTAAAAGAATCAAATAAGTTAACAGAAGAAAAGAAGAAGACAGTGCATACCAGGTGTCCTCTTTGAATCTTCATATCTACTCCGCTTTCTTCCATATTCTCCACTATATTCTTGTTCATATCGGCTACCTTCCCTTCGACGATTATAATCGTTACCATTACTACTGTATCTTTGTCTTTCACTCCTACTACCATCCTGATACTCTCTTCTCTCACTACCACGGTCATCCCTGTCGTATCTACCCTTGTAATCTCTTCTCTCATTTCCACGATCATCCCTGTCATACTTAGGGGTCCGAGACCTGACACTGTGGGAACTTCCACTAGGAGACGAAACCTTCAATTAAGAGGCACAATAAGAAGCATGTCAGAATTTATTTAAGAAAAGCAAACACAACAGAGGAAATAGCATGTCACAAGAGCAAACTTCTAACATAAACCTCCCAAGAAAACAACAGAGTGGAGCAGAAGATAGATAACTTACATAGAGCTCGTTTGGATGTGCTTTTAAAATGATTGAAAGCGCTTTTGGTGAAAATGTTTTTAGAACCAATCTTTAGGAAAGATGCAAGTAAATCCTGAAAAAAGCACTTAAAGTGCTTCCTAGAAGAAGTACATAACTGGTGCTTCTTGCAGAAAGCACTTTAAGTGGTTTTGGAACTCAAAAACATTTTCTCTAAAAGCGTCTTCAGTTTAAAAGCACATCCAACGAGACCATAATCAAATTGACCAATCAAAAGCACTTTGAGTTCTCATTTACAAATCCATGAATTTCCTCCTTCATAACATTCATATGAGCACAGAGTTAAATATCAGATGCTCTTGCCTCCTACATATCTCTCCTTCACAACAAACAACAACAAAGCCTTTTCCCACTAAGTGGGGTTGGCTATATGAAGCGCTCAGTTCTGTGTCATGTCCTCCATTAGATCCAAGTACTCTAAATCTTTTCTTAGAGTTTCTTCCAAGTACTCTAAATATTTAGTACTCTTAAGTACTAAATAAACAATTTGGTAATGCCTTTAGACCCTAAAGGCCAAATTCCTGGATAAACAATTTCTAGAACAAATATAAATATCACTTGTGATCTAATTTCTAAACAATGACATTAAAACAGAAGACAAATAGAGCGCTAGAAGTATGCTTACATCTCCACGCAGATGTTCCCTAGAGTAGCGATTCTCGTGCATATCATCAATTTTTCCTTCTTCTGTTACAGTACTTTCTGCAACACAAGGATTACAAAGGGCCTTTTAAGTAAAGAAACATATACTTAGAGAAAAGCAGATGGGAAGGAGTAAGATACTATAAGAAAAGTGTACCTGTGCGTGGTGTCTCACTCCCAGATATTTCCCGATATCGCCTCCGAGAGTGACTTCGTATAGCAGTGGGTTCATCAGTACCTTTTTCATCTGAAATTACAGACTCTGATTTTTCGTCTTCCTCCATTGATGAGACAACATTAGCACCTCTTTCTCTTGGGGTCTTGAATCCACCGTTAACCTTAGACCCTTCCCGTTTGGCAATAGCAAGGACATCTAACCCTGTTCCATCATAAATCAAAATCAGAAGGAAGCCCCCTAACGACACTACCACTTGCATTGGAGGGAGGCAGGGCACTGATTCCACAAAATTTCATAAACATAACAAAACACATGAACAAGGATATAAACTCGAAAGTACGGAACATGTTAAAGATGAAATCTTACCCAGGAGAGATTTCCTCTCTGGAGGTCTAAAAACAACTCTATCCTTCCCAGGTACAAATAATCCCGCATCGCTATTCGCCTCAGGTTCCAACGTCGCCGTTGTCTTGTCCAGGTCAATAGGTTCAGCGTGACCTCGTTTCTACACATTAACATCACAAAAATTAGGGAATATAATTTTAGTAAATACAAAAATGACTCTACTTTCTTGCTAAATCCCACGAATCGGATACTAACCTCCATGATAATCACCCGAACAAACTCTAAAATCGAACCCGCCGAGCAATGAGGGCACCTGCACATACAGCAACAGTGAAATCAGAAGCAAATTTCAAGTCGTAAGGCACATAAAAACAAGATTTTGCAATTTCAAATCTCCGGAAAATTGTAAAACCAATGGCGAATGGTTCCAGAATGCGAACTGAACTGAATTCGAACAAAACCCTAGAAATTTCTAGCTTCGAATTCGGACGCCGTGAATCGAGTCGTTCCCCAATTGAAATTTTGGAGAGGGGGAGAGAGAGAGAGGGACGTACGTACCTGTGGAAGAAGAGGCCTGCGAGAGTAGTGTTTCGTCGGAGTTTTTTTGCAGGGGTTTCAATCTGTAGTTTTAAAGAAGAAGACAAATGGCGGCGACTCCACCGACTTTCGTTTCAGGTTCTACTCGTCCCGAACCTCCCTACGGTTTTTTCTTTTTTTTGGATAAATTACATAGTAATTCCTTATGTTTAAGCTCTATTAATCTTATATAACATCTTTAAAGCATTTCACTTTCATACCTTAAGTATTATTTTATTTCAATATAATACATCCGTTAGATTTTCCATCTATTAATCCATTAAATGCTGACGTAGCTGACACATTTATGCCACGTGGCTGCTAAATGTGTGCCACGTGACAAAAAAATAATATTTTTTTTTAACTGAATCTTCAACCCAAAAAAAAAAAAAAAAAAAAAACCCAAATCCAGATCCTATCACCCCACAAAACGATTATCCCTTCCCTAAATCCCCCATCCCACCCCCAATGATTATCCCTCTCCCAACCCCCCCTCTGCGACCAACCTCATTGTAGCGCCCCCCAACCCTGCGACCCACCTCACTCAAGCCCCCCCCCTTCTCCCTCTGCTCATCTCTTCTTCCCCTTGCAACTCAGAAAAGAAAAGGAAGAAAAAAAAAACCCAGATCGCGTCTACACATCCATCGCTGGGTTCATGAGATGGAATTGGGTGCGAGGATGGGTGCAGGTGCGAAGGAAGACGAACTGGGTTGTTTTTTTTTTTTTTCCAAGTTGCAGGAAGGGGTTTCAGGGGAAGAAGATGAACATGAAGGAAGGAGAAAGGGGAGGGAGGGTGAGTGCGGGTGCAAGGAGAAGACGAACTGGTTGCAGGAATGGGGATCTTGGGATGAAGGGTCGCGGGTGCAGAGGAAGACAAACTAGGTTTTTTTTTTTTGGGTTGTAGGAAAAGGTTTCAGGGGAAGAAGATGAACATAGAGGAAGAAGAAGGGGAAGGAGAAGAGGGGAGGGAGGGTGAGTGCGGGTGCGAAGAGAAGACGAACTGGTTGCAGGAATGGGGATCTGGGAGGGAGGGTCGCGGGTTGGGGGTGTTCTGGGTTTCTTGTTTTGGGGTGAGGGGGTACGGGGGTGGGGTTATGATTTCAGTTTTTTTTTTTTTTTTTTTTTAGAAGATTTAGGTTTTTTTTTTAATTTAAAAAAAAATTTGTCATGTGGCAACCACGTCATCACTTAACGGATTAATGGATGAAAAAACTAACGGACATATTATTTTGAAATAAAATGGTACGTGAGGTATGAAAATGAAATGTTTAAAAGATGTTGTATGGATTTGTGCAAGATCTCAAACCTGAGTGGTCATTGTGTAATTTACCCCTTTTTTTTTTAACATGTGAGACAAAACAGGTGTCTATTTTTCGTTTATTTTTTATTTTTAAATTTATTTTTCATATTTTGTGAGATGTGGGTTTACGAAGTTAGTTTGGTTTTTAGTTTGTGAAAATGATCCAATCTCCAGCCCGAAGTTTAAATACATGGGCCTCCAAAATGATTTGAGACTTTTTGTGACTTTTTTATGGTTAAGGGATTTTTTGTGACGTACCTGACTTTCAAATACTTCTTTCCGTAATTTAAATGATTTGTCAAAAAGTAGGGTAAATTACATAATATCTCCTCATGTTTGAGGTCTGTTGATGCATAAAACCAGAGGTCTTGGAACAACGTAAATCCAACCGTGAATCTGCAAGAAATGTAAATAACACAAGATGTATCGTGGTTAACCTCAAGGTTTAGGCTACGTCCACACTGATATTGTATTTATCTGAGGGAGAGAGAGAGCTATGAGAGTGAGAGTTTTGAGAGGGGGTGAAAGGGCCTAGGAATTGGCCTTCGAGGGTGAGAATGAGGCTCTCCCTAATTGTGAAGGTGAGAGGTCCTTTTATAGAATAATGGTTCCCCACTTATTACATATTTGCCCATTCCTTTATTACATAATTACATTTGAGTCCCCCGAGTATTTATACGAGATATAAATACGGAGGCCCTAAGTATGGTATAAACAGTAGTCCCCCAAGTCTTCAGTCAAGAGAGTCTTTTTGCTAGAGACTTGAAATTCAGTCCATGTGTGGGTTGAAGTAACTAAATGTCGTCTAGGACTGATACTCGATATGAGGCGGTGCTCAATCTGAAATGATACTCATCTAGAAGTAGCACATATTGCGAGGCTGCTATGCTTGTGGCTTATGTTGCCTTGGATACCTCGGCTTGTGGCGTTGAAGTTGAATGAGTCCCTTTTATAGAATAAAGGCTTACTCTTCAATACATAAATGATGGGCTAGAGTTGATGCTCGCGGTGAGAAGGTTGCTCAGTAGGCGGCAATGCTCTCTAATGATGGTGAGGGAGTCCCTTTTATAGAATAAGGGCTCGCTCCTCAATACATAAGTGATGGATTAGGAGTGATGCTCGCGGTGAGGCGGTTGCTCAGCTGGCGACGATGCTCTCCAATGAAAGTGAATGAGTCATTTTTATAAAATAAGGGATCGCTCCTCAGTACATGAGTAATGGTGCTCTCTAATGAAAGTGAGGGAGTCTCTTTTATATAACAAGGGCTCGCTCCTTAATACATAAATGATGGGCTAAAGTCCCCCAAGTATTTTTCATGAGGCCCAGTTGAGGCCTAATATATGGTACATAATGTAGTCCCCCAAGTCTTCGGTCAATAGAGTATGTTGGCTGGAAACTTCAAATTGAATCCATGTATGGGCCGAAGTGGCGGTTGTTCAAAGGCGGTATTTGTATACCCTGCACTGAAGCTTTGTAGGTGAAGCTTTGCAAGTGAAGATTTGAAGCTAGAGCTCTGTAAATGAAGCTTTCGAAGCTTGAACTTTTGTAAATGAAGTTTTTGAAGCTAGAGCTTTGTAAATGAAACTTTTAAAGCTAGAGCTCTGTAAATGAAGCTTTTGAAGCTAGATTGACATGAGTGATGTTCATGAATGTTTATGTTGATTAACATGAGTGATGCTCATGGATGTTGTCATGAGTGATGCTCATGAATGTTAACATGAGTGATACTCATGAATGTTAACATGAATGATGCTCATGAATGTTTATGTATGATTGTCATGAGTGATACTCATGAATGTTTATGTATGAATGACATGAGTAATGCTCATGTATAATTTGGAGTACTGGGCGTACTTTTGATCACCTGGTTGGTGGCATGAAGGAGAGTACGGGTTGTACATTTCATCATCTGGTTGGTAGCATGAATGGCTAGTTGCCGAATGATATTAGAGAACGGGTTGTACATTTCATCACCTGGTTGGTGGTAATAACGGCAGGTTGCCGAATAATTTTGGAATACTGGGCGTACTTTTGGTCACCTAGTTGGTGATAATAGAGGCAGGTTGCCGAATAATTTTGGAGTATTAGGCGTACTTTTGGTCATCTGGTTGATGATAATAGAGGCAGGTTGCCGAATAATTTTGGAGTACTGGGGTACTTTTGATCACCTGGTTGGTGGTAATAGTGGCAGGTTGCCGAATAATTTTGGAGTACTGGGCGTACTTTTGATCACCTGGTTGGTGCTATTTTGGGCTTATGGGCCTTCGCTCTCCACACAACATTCCAGCCCATTTATTTTGGGCTTTGCCATTTTTTTTTAATTTTTTATTAATTACCTCTGATGGGCTTTATACAGATGTCTCCGAAAGATAAGAAAAATAAATCACATCATTCAAAAATAAATCCAACCCTCTGCTCAATAGGTCATGCCCATAATTCCCTTTTTTGCATGTTATCACCATCGTAATTATGCCTTTTTCTTTTTCTATTCTTTTCCTCCACCTTTTTCTTTTTCTTTAACATTATGGTGTCGTCTGTAAAGAACGGGAACATGATGCAAGTTGGTGGGCATCTCTGTGCTGTCATTGTGCCAAGTTGATTCCTTTAATCAACTTGGAGCTTGGGTTGCTGTGCATTAGTGGGTAGCCATGCTTTCTGCTTTTTTCTCTTTTGGTAGCCTGGTCATTGCTTTTGCTTTTCTCTTTTGGCGGATTCAGCAGTGCATCTCTCAACTCATTTGCATCAATGAAACCACTTCTGTCCTGGTCGAACCTCTCAAATATTCCCTTAATCAACTTGGAAGACTGTAGTGCAGTGAATTCCTTAGGCCAGATCTTCCTGGCGTTGGAGGAACCTTCGACCTCTGCTTCAGGATCCTCTTCCTCCTTTGAATCTGAACCACCTTGGGCCATTTCACGAACCGGGTTGGATTATTTTCACCATGTGCACTCTCCTTTATTGCCTTTAATCGATTTGGGAACATTTGGGATGGTAATCCCACCGGGAAGAACAATCTCGCGACCTCCATCGTGATCGATTTCAATCGATCGAGCAGTGTGAGACTCCCCTTTACAGTACTTGAGCCGTAAATCAGTGGACATATCGTATCCACGCCCAATGAATGCAATTGCAATCTCGGTAGCTTCCGGAGTTGGAGCCTTAAGCGCCATCGCTCAGCACATCGCTCTCGTTCACCAAATCAAGATTGAATGTAAAAAATTGAATTGAATTTGTGAAAGTCAATGAGGATTCAATACATTTTTTAAGTGAAACAGAGAGGGAATCGAGCTGCACCGTCGTTGGATTGTGCAAAAACTTGGCTCGAATAGTAGACTGACTGGGTTTTTAAAGGAGAGAGAAACCACGTGTACTTGGCTCGAATAGTGGACCTTCCCGTCAGGACCTTCCCGTCCTCCCATGTGTCCTTGAAACCACAGCATCTCTAGCGATGTAGAGAGGGTGGCCGGAGAAGATGAAGCGGTTCCTGACGAGCGTGAAAGAGTTGTTCCGGGTTGGGTGAGTTGGAACAGAGCCGAGTCCAACTGAGTTGAAGATTTCATCTTTACAGGGGAGTGGGTCGGGGAAGATTAAGCCCAGGGTTTAGAACCAACACAGGAAAGTGGGATTAGGGACTCATTGGGAAAGCGTGGAAAATTCAAGCAGATTTGTGAGGAAAAAATGGGCTCAGAGATAAAGGACGATAAAATTTCAGATTAAACCCAGAAGAGAAAGAAAACTGTTTCAGCTTAAAAAAGTGAGATTTGTAGACTGAAGAGAGAGAGATAGAGTATTTGGTTTCCTAGGTTTTTTTTTTTTTTTTTAGGAAAGCTTTGGGTTGTTGGGTTTTTGCAGATTCACGGCGGAGGTGAAAAATTGAGAGAGAACCGACATAACTTTTTGTGTCGTTTCCTACAGACGGCGCCAAATGTTGATGCACAAAATTGAAGGTCTTTGAACAACATAAATCCAACCGTGAATCTGCAAGAAATGTAAATAACACAAGATGTATCGTGGTTCACCCCAAGGTTTGGGCTACATCCACACTGATATTGTATTTATCTGAGGGAGAGAGAGAGCTCTAAGAGTGAGAGCTTTGAGAGGGGGTGAGAATGCCTAGGAATTGGCCTCCAAAGGTGAGAATGAGGCTCTCCCTAATTGTGAGGGTGAGAGATCCTTTTATAGAATAAGGGTTCCTCACTTATTACTTATTTGCCCCTTCCTTTATTACATAATTACATTTGAGTCCCCCGAGTATTTATACGAGATCTAAATACGGAGACCCTAAGTATGGTATAAATAGTGAAGAGCCCATCATTTATGTATTAAGGAGCGAACCCTTATTCTATAAAAGGGACTCCCTCACTTTCATTAAAGAGCACCCATTACTCATGTACTGAGGAGCGAGCCCTTATTTTATAAAAGGGACTCCCTCACTTTCATTAGAGAGCATCGCCACCAGCTGAGCAACCGCATCGCCGCGAGTATCACTCATAACCCATCACTTATGTATTGAGGAGCGAGCCTTTATTCTATAAAAGGGACTCCCTCACCATCATTACAAAGCATCGCCGCCTACTGAGCAACCTCATCGCCGCGAGCATCAACTCTAACCCATCATTTATGTATTAAGGAGCGAGCTCTTATTCTATAAAAGGAACTCTCTCAACTTCAATGCCACAAGCCGAGCTAACCAAGGCAACATAAGCCACAAGCATAACAGTCTCGCAATATGTGCTACTTCTAAATGAGCATCATTTCAGATTGAGCACCGCCTCATATCGAGTATCAGTCCTAGACGGCATCTAGTTACTTCGGCTCACACATGGACTGAATTTCAAGTCTCCAGCCAAAAGACTCTCTTGATTGAAGACTTAGGGGACTACTGTTTATACCATACTTAGGGCCTCCGTATTTAGATCTCGTATAAATACTCGGGGGATTCAAATGTAATTATGTAATAAAGGAATGGGCAAATATGTAATAAGTGAGGAGCCCTTATTCTATAAAATGACTTATCACCCTCACAATTAGGGAGAGGCTCATTCTCACCCTCGGAGGCTAATTCCTAGACCCTCTCTTCCCCTCTCAAAGCTCTCACTCTCAGACCTCTCTCTCTCCCTCAGATAAATACAATATCAGTGTGGACGTAGCCCAAACCTTAGGGTGAACCATGATACATCTTGTGTTATTTACATTTTTGCAGATTCACGGTCGGATTTACGTTGTTCCAAGACCTCCAGTTTTGTGCATCAACAAGGTCTATTACAACTCTATACAACATCTTTAAAACATTTCACTTTCATACCTCACATACTATTTTATTTCAATATAGTACCTCTGTTACATTTTCCATCCATTGATCCGTTAAGAGCTGACGTGGCTGTCACCTGTGTGCCACGTGACAAAAAAAAATAATTGAAAAATGCAGAACCCACCCCCATCACCTTCCCTGCAACCCCTCCCCACCCTTCTTCTCCCTCCCAAGCCGAGTTTAGCTCCATCTTCTCCACTATCTTCACTTAATCCCTCGTTATTGTGTCCGCATCCCAACATAATTTTGATAATCGAACCGAGAGCTGGTTGTAGATGGAAGATCTGGCCGGGTTGAAAACCGAGTCAAATTGCTGGTAGCAATCGGAGTAGGGGCCGCACTGGAGCCAGTTGACGTCTCTGCCGATGTCGAGCGCCATGTATAACAATTTCGCTAGAATCCCGACGCCAATCCCAGAGAAGTACTCGTCGTTGCCCTAGCTAACGCTGGAGACGACGAGGGTGGAGAGGTCCTGGGGTTGGATCTCGGCGTGCATGGGCTCGAGATCCCTTATTTTTATCCCCTGGAGTGCCAGCTGGAGCTTAGTGTAGAGTGAGTTCACTCAGGCCGAGTAGCGGTCGAGTTTGGTGAGGGTGAGGGATTTATAGTCCTTGTGTTGGGAATTGAAGAGGGAGTCGCAATGGTGGAGCTGGAAGGAGAAGGCGGAGGAGTTGAGGGGTTGGGATTCCTAGGATTTGGATTCCAATTGTTGGAGAGACTCAGGGTTGAATGAGAGGAGGTGAAGAAAGTGGAGGAGAATGAGATGGTTGCTCGGAAGGGAAGGAGAAGAGATGTTGCGGGGAAGGTGGGGTGGGTTCTATGTTTTTCTTTTTCTTTTTTTTTTCTTTTTTTGAAAAGATTCAAGTTTAAAAAAAAAAATTTGCCACGTGGTACAAATGTGGCAGCCACGTTAGCTCTTAATGGATCAATGGATGGAAAATGTAACGGAGGTACTATATTGAAATAAAATAGTAGGTGAGGTATGAAAGTGAAATGTTTTAAAAATGTTGTATGTGGTTATAATAAACCTCAAACCTAATAAGGTATTATGTAATTTACCCCAAAAAGTACAACTTTCGTCCACTATATATGTCCATGTGACATGGATAAACTAGTGAATTGAAACATACTACTTAGTAGATTAGACACAAATTACTTAATTTTGACAAGCAACGGTCTAAACTTGAACATCTATATATACTATTATTAAGAAAACCCGCATTGCCAACTTTTCTCATTTTTTCCTATTTTGCCCTCACTTTTGATACACACTATTGACAAAAGGAGGGCAAAATAGTAATTTTGTACCTTTTGACAAAATGACAATCATATCCCTATTTTAACCTATTTTTTTTTATATAATGACAATCATATTTTTTCAATTTTACCCTCACTTTTGATACACAATATTTACAAAAGGAGGATAGAATAGTAATTATGTAATATTAAAAAAATATGCACTTATTAAAAGAAATTATTCACACACACACACACAAAGTGTTTGCTCTCTACTAGTAAGAAATTAAGGTTGATGCTTCTATGTAAATGGTGGTTATAAAGACTGGAGTTTGATCGAAATTATTTGCCAAACTGAGCTAAATGTGGCTTCTCCACCGGTGATGTATAGAGGGGACTTACTAGTGCCTTCCACCAATCACAGGACCACTAAGAAGAGAAAGGCTCCCCACACAAATGATTGTGTCGAAGAAACGTGGTAGACCACATATTTGATATGCGCCTTCTATCAAGCATATAATTTATGATATTTACAGAAAACACTTTAAACGCTTTTGTAGCTCAAAAATATTTCATGTATAAACGTTTTCAGTTATTTTTAAAGCACTTCCATACGAGTTTTTATTTTTTCATACACTTTGCAATAAGAAAGGGTGCCATGAATGATTTCTTGCAAACATCGACGAACTCACACCATTGAGCGCGTTCAAATCCTTCAAACACATTCTTCATCGTGTAAACCTTTCTCCGCAAGGCTAAAGATGCAGAACTGATCAGTAGTACTACTAGTACCTCTTCGTGGCCACGGTGCATCAGCCATGGGGATTGAGGAGGCAACGCCAACGCCGCAGCTGCAGAGTTATATAACTTTGCAGGATGTACAAACTGCTTTAAAGCAATGGACATCGACGAAATTAGTTGAATCAAGGATTTTCAAGATCAACTCCGACAGTTCAGGTTGGAGCTCAGACCACTTATTACTGTTTGGTAGAGACGTTCTAGTCTAGTCGTCACGTTGGTGCAATGGTACTCGCTTGAAAACCCCCCTCGTTTTGGTGCAAGGATAAAGAGTTTTGTATCAGCCATTACTCGAACATATTATAGTCCACAGGTTTGGATTCAATCGGTTAGGTTTTTCACCAAAATCAAAAATCGAACCTTAAGTATTGTTTGGCTTGTTTTTTTTCAATGTTTGGTTCGGTTTTAATGTATTATGAAGCAAAATTCATTTGTACATTAAAACCATAATAAATTAGGAGTTCGAGTTTTTGTAGTTTCCGTATAGAATTAGGAGGAAGTTTGTACCCACAATGGGTTGGAAGAGGATAACCTACCCTACGAGTAGGAAAATAGTTTGAACTCAAAACACAGTGAGCTGAAAAGAAAAATTCTGGCCACTAAGACAATTCACCGCTTGCTATCTCAATCTAATATTTTAGGTTGAATCAAATCATGTGGTGAACGAGGAAAACAAATGACGATAGGAAAAATTGAATTAAGAATTTGTGAATGTACATTATGCAACGCATAAATTGAGGGGGGGGGGAATGGAGAAAAGTTACATTATTATTACAAGCAAACTAGAAATTGGCAGAAACTAGACATTTCAAATTACAAAATGTAGCCAATTCTTAATTATCATTTTTACACAAAAAGAAAACAAAATAATGTGTAATAAAATTATGCTATGGGGATTTGCTTGACTTAAAAAAAAATAAATGGGGTTCTTCATCAACAAATTGATTCTTCAAAATAATCCTACCACAACCTATCAAAATCCACCATCTGACAAAACTAAATCTTCAAATTCATTAGGTGAACGTCGAACTTCATGACTATATTCAGAGAAATGATTTCCGCACTCATGTTTTCACCGTCTGCATTCCACTTGTTTTTGTCCTTTGATTATCCATTAACTTATATTAAAAAATATAGAAGCTCAGAAAATAGGTAGGAGTGCAGCGGAATGAAAAAGGATGTGCGGAAATTATCTCCCAACTGTGTATACGTATCGATCCTCACGTTCCAATCCTTTCAAGATTTTCAGAGACGGATTTCATCCTTGGCCTAACCTCAGGGTCCGGCTCAGTGCATGCAAGGGCTACATGGAAAGCTGCAAGTACCTCCTTTTTGGCATGCACTTCCTGTAGCAACACAGGGTCTACCATATCCGACAAAGGGTTTTCATCCTCAAATCCTTTCCTCACCCACCTCACTAGGTCTGGGACCTCGACCGAAGTTGACGTGGTCGGAGAGAGCTCCGGGGACTTCCCTGTGAGCAATTCAAGCAACACAACTCCGAATGAGTACACGTCCCATTTTTGGGTGAGTTTGCTTCCCGTGACACGGGCCTCCGGGGCACGGTAATTGTTTGATCGCTCTGTTGGTACTGGTTTCATGTAAGGCAAAGCCCCGCCCATGAAGCCACCCGAGGAGGGGTTGTTTCCTGTGATTTCGATAAGCCTGTTGAGTCCGAAATCTGAAATGTAGGCTTGAGATTCGTTGTCGAGAAGAATGTTGGAGGGTTTAATGTCACCGTGGACAAACTTTCTGGGGCTGCATTCGTGCAGGTAGGCGAGGCCTCGGGCTGTTCCCTTGGCGATCTTTAGCCTCGTTGTCCACGAGAGGCTTGATGATGACTGACCGTTTCTCCCTGCACATTTTTAATTCAAAATTTTCAGTTTCAATAGCTTTTAAGTAAAGGAATTGTATGACAATTGCAGAAAAGGGAAATGCAGAAGAATTGCATTAGAATCCACGTTATCCACTCGAATTATGACATGGTAGTTGTAGTGGTTCCATGCCACCAAGGAAACTTGAAAACAAAGGCAGAGGACAAAGGAATTAAAATCTACGCTTTACGTTTCCCCTACACAAACAGAGGTTCACTTTTCTGCTTCCAAAGTTCCAATTTCATTAACATCGAACGAATATTTGATCAACCTAGGAAAATGGTTTTTGCACGTTCTTTTTTACTTTTTGTACACCCTGTCTTATTTCGGCCCTTGATTCTCTTTTGACGCTCAATTGAGTAGCTAAAACAGAAGAGTGTCCAGAAAGCTACAAATGGGTGCGGAAATCATTTCCCGTTGAAGTATACTTACAACTAGCAAGGCCAAAAAGCTGTGATGGTGTGCACCAAATATGACATGATTATCCTGACCTACCATGTAGTGAATTGTGTTGAGCTCTCGGAAATGCGCAAGCCCCACATCATGAGAGATTTTTCAGTGTGACGGGCATACGAGGTGGTACACCACGTGTCACTATACAAACGATGGAATATGTGTGTTAAAAAGTTAATAACTTAAAAAATAAAATTTTCCACCACTTACATAAAAACACGTAGTGTACCACCCATGTTCCCGTCACAATCAAAAAAATTTCCCACATCACAGCATGATCACAGTCAGAGTCATTTCCCAAACAACATGGGTACAACTATTTGCCCACATACGAAAAACAATGTGATATCTAAGCATGTCATTTTCTTGCCAAGTTGGCAAATATTCCCACAATTTTCAACATATTTGCTCTTCCCAGAACCTCCGTCTTTATATAAAGAACGGATGTGCATCGAGAACATATGTTTTGCGATCATTTGTAACTTCTATTGTAGAGAATGAATATCCGTTTCATAATTGAACAACAAATTTGATAAGAATCAGACGTCCGTTTCATAGTTGGATTACAAGTTTTAATGATAAGGGTGGACAAACATAATGCAAAATCATCATTTGTGTACCAGGCAGGATGATAATTTGCTGCCTAATAATTAAAGAGAACTTTAACAAAAAATTTTCGATACTGTTCACTTTAACGAAAAGCCACATTTTTACACTAAAATGTCAATTATAGTATTATTCACTTTACCCTTTATTTTGTCCTTTTTATCGTTAAAACTCAAAATTTTCAGATCATTTTTATTAGTTTTTCTAAAATTAATTTAAAGCCTAACCGGTCCAGCGGACCAGGGCCCTCCCTCCAGGCGGACCAGGCCCCCCCCCGGGGTCCCAATTAAATTAAAACTTCTAAACGACCCCTTAAAGCTAATCGTGGCCCAGCTGCCTTATATGTCCTTCACTACAACAAAGCAGAGCAAACTTACGTGGCTTAAAGGCCAATTAAAAATAAAACATTTTAATTTTGTTCCAATTAATTTTAAGGAATACTAATGAAAATAATTTGAAAACTTTGAGTTTTAACGATAAGGATAAAATAAAGGGTAAAGTGAATAGTACTATGTTTGACTTTTTAGTGTAAAAATGTGATTTTTCGTTAAAATGAACAGTACCGCAGATTTTTCGTTAAAACTCCCTTAATTATAAGGTATTGCTATTTATACTCTCTTTTACTTTTTACGCACTCTTATTAATTTTTATTCATTATTTTTTTTTAATTCATTTGATCTGACGATAGAAAATTAAAAGGGTGTATGAGAGTAAAAATGAGTGTGAGAATAACACCACCCTTAATTATATTGCTATATTTTGCTTAATTTCTTTCGTATGGCTTAAAGATCCGTCCTATGATCAATTTCTAGTACCGTCACTAACAACATCCAAATTATAGTATTTTTTTAAGAAACGATATTATCTATACTAAGGGAGATGAGTTGGACTTAGTCTTACCTGAACTACTAATAATGTGGTTCAAATTTATTTTTGACGATAATCGAGTATAAACTTTTTACTTATAAGTAAAGGAGAATAACACTAATAAATGAAAAGGCGCAAACCAAAATATGACACATCCACACTCACAAAACGACATAATAACGTAATTCACAACTGCAAATTTAAAGAAAAAAAAAAGATAAGGGTAAAAAACTTACCGCGGAGTGCAGAGGCCAAGTTACCGTTAGAAATGAAGTCACTGATGAGAAGCTTCTCGTCGGCCGCCCAATAGTACGCCCTCAGCTTCACCACATTCGGATGCTTCACCCGCCCGATCGCCTGAATCTCCGCCGCGAACTCCTTATACCGCTGATCGCCGCCCTCCCCCAACCTCCTCACCGCCACCGGGATTCCATTCCCGAGCACCACTTTGTACACAATCCCCAACCCGCTCTTCCCCAGCACGTAAGCCGATGCTCTCAACAGCTCGTCGAGCTCGAACGTGAAACCCTTGTCGATCGCAACGAGATCCCCCTCCCCTTTCCCCCTCTCTCCCTTTTCCGGGTCGCCGGAATCCGAATCCTCGTTCCCGAACCCGCCATTGATGCAAGCGCAAGAACAGAGCTGGCAGAGATTACAGAGGTGGCGCTTCTCGTTGCTGCCAAAATTGCTCTTTCCGGTACAACTGCATCCATCCTCGTCGTCCTTCTTTTTCCAGTAAATGTAAACGACGACTAATCCGATAAACGCCACTCCGGCGGCGTCCGCCACCGAGATTAGGACAATCAGACCCGGACTCAATCCCTTTCCCGGACTTTTTTCCGAACCCGGTCCCGAATTCGGACTATCCGCGGAGCTCTGCCCCGGGTTTTTACAAGCTTTCTGAAGCGGAAACCCGCAGAGCAGAGGATTGTTCAGAAACGCGGTGGGACCCTGGTTCGAAAACGAACCCGTTTGAGGAATCTCGCCGCTGAAATTATTGTTTCGGAGATCAAAGCTCACCGTGACAGGCAATTCGCCGAGGGATTTCGGAATCTTTCCCGATAAGTGATTGAACGATAAGTTGAGCGTGCCGGAGAGAGACTTCAACTTGCCGAAATCGTCCGGCACCGATCCGGTTAACTCGTTGGAGGAGAGGTCCAATTGGATTAGATTCTCCATGTCTGACCAAATTCCCGCCGGAATTTCGCCTTCGAATCGGTTTCTCGCGAGGATCAGCCGCTGCAATTGGCGGCAGTTCTTCAAGTAGTCCTTCTGGAGCGGACCGGAGAGGGAGTTGTTGGAGAGGTCGATGTTCTGGAGGCGCGGGGGGTTGCATATCGACGGCGGGAGAGGACCAGAGAGGTTGTTACCGTAGAGGAAGAGGCTGTGGAGTGAGGTGGCGTTGAAGAGTTGGGAAGGGATTGAGCCACGGAAGTTGTTGCTATGGAGGTTGAGGCGGCGAAGGTATACTAATGTTCCAAGCTCGGAGGGAATGTATCCGCGGAGGTTCTTGCCGGAGAGAGTGATTCCAACAACGCGGGGGTCGGAAAAGCCGGTGATGTTCATGCAGGAAATGCCGGTCCAGCGGCAGGGGGTGGGGTCGGTGTCGAGCCAGTCGGAGAAGGCGGAGCCGTCGGAGGACTGGTCGACGGCGGATTTGAGCGAGAGGAGGGAAAGGCCGTCGGGGGTGAGCGAGAGTGTGGTGTCGACGAGGAAGAGGAGGAAGATGAGGGCGGAGAACATGGAAGGTTCCATAATTTGGGCGGAGAAATGGGAGGAGATGGAGATTTGTGGGTTTAATTGAAGTTCATATTGTTGTTTTAGAGGGAGAGAGAGAGAGGAGAGAGAGGGTTGTTGGAGGTGTGGGTGAGGTGGTGCTGCGGGTATTTATGAGAAAGAGACCGGAGGAAGGAGGAGATTTGATTGGCGGGGTCCACTTCCCGCCAAAAGGAGAGAGGGAGGAGGAGGGGAGTAGAAGAGAAGCAAAGGAGAAGGGGGTGGTGGCATTTTACTGTGTTTTTATAATTTTAAGGCACATGATGGTGATGTTGTGGTGTAGGTAGGTCACGTCTAATACGCTTATCATTAACATTTCCTCATTTTCTCGACTCTTATTGTTAGTGATTAAAATGATGAATTACATCAATTTTAAAAATAATTTCAATTAGAAAGCCGAATTATTATTGTTTAGTACTGGTTTAATATTAAAGTGTCTTTATAAAAAGTGGATATTAGAAAAAGCTGAGGATAAACACTTAAAAACAAATTATTTTCACAGTTTTTGGTAAAAAAAAAAAACTAGAAAAGTGAAGTAGTAAAAATGAGCTTATTCTCGCAGCACAACAAAAACAGTTTTTTTTTTAAAACATAGCAATACCAAACCAGACCTGTCATTTAGGAAATGTAGTCCCATTCTTAATTATTTTTTATGGTTAACTTAATAGAGTAGGTGGTGTATTGTATGCTTAATGAGCACATTTGTTTTTGGGATGATCGTCTGCGAAGAATCGTTTGTTTATAAAATCCAATCACTTTGTTTTTTTGTATGAACAACCGAATCAAATCTGTTTGATCATATTTACTATACGTATGGAAATTATTGGAACTTAACTAAATGGATAAGTAAAAATAATATTGTCACACGCAGTCAGTCACAGTCACAGACTCACAGAGTCTTCTGTTGCGGTTTCATTGGTCAAAATACACAGCAAGAGGTAGCTTCAGCAAACAACAAATGAAGCAGGCAAAGGCAGTACTTGCTGATAAGGAAAGGATCTTCAACTCAATGTCTGGTTTATGTTTGACCCAAGAAGAAAAAATCTCGTAGCCCCCTTAAATTGTCGGTTTGTCCAACGTACTACTATGCGTCATTCCAACAGAAGTAGTGTTTGCATTGCCAAAATTACGTGGCGGATATGAGTTCCGAGAATGGTTAAAGTAATGTGCTCGCTCGTGAAATAATGTTTAGCAAAAATTCGTGACTCGAATTAATAATGAATTAAGGGTAATCAAACATATGCGTTGACCACTTTTAAAAGAATCTCCTTTGCATTTCTCTTGATCAAATTAATGAACGAAATTAATCACTTCGTATATTTGAACCCTTTTAGATCAACTCTAATGGTGGGCTAAAAGCCAAATTATTCCCCAAAATTTTCCCCCAAACCCACTCCAACCCAAGGGGAAATTTTGGGCTAAATGCTAAATGCTAAACCAAGGTCAGATTCCCCTCGAAATTTAGCCCAGAAATCGGAATTTAAAATTTTCAATATTTATCGGAATTTAATTTTTTTTAGATTAAAATGTTCATAAAATTAATTTACGATAGTCTACATATTTATTTTGTTTTAATTTAATTTAACAAAAAAAATAGCCTAAGTTAATTCTTTAATAATCCCGGGCTGAAATTTTAGACTAGAACAGTTGGAGCAGAAAAACTGTTTCTGGATTAAAAGCTAAATTTTCTGGACTAAAATATTTGGTTTTTAGCAAAATGGTCTTAGGAGTAAGTACGGAGGGAGCAAATTGAATTGGTAATTGGTGAAAAGTAAAAGTAAAATTTAATTATTATTTAGTGGAATTTGCACAACGATATCTCACTAGCAATCATCAAAACATGCTTAGAAGCTAACAAAACAGAGAGAGAGAGAGAGAGAGAGAGAGAGAACGTCCGTCCTGTCTTGGGTGGAAATTGAAATAATAATTGTATTTTTTTATGGGAATAATGATGTATTTATCATATGAATCATTTTACTTTGTTTGAAATGAACAATTAATATACTTATCCACTAATTTATTGGCTATTAAAATGGTAGGATTCTTTATGAAGTTTTGAGAAAAAAATACAATATTTTACTAATTGAACACACGGAGTACTTACAAATTAAATTTAAGTTGTCGCAATAATTATGATAATTCAAGACAATAACTAGAATTCAAACATTTCGTTGAAAGCCGAGCTCACTAACAACCACAACATTACATACAAGGATGTAAAATCTCTTGTCAAGTCATGACTCAAAGCATCTCTAACGGGAGATGCAAAAATGCAATTGGATATACATTGTATATTTCTTTTCAGAAAGTAAATGAAATTTCAAATTTCATTTTTCGCATTAGAATAATACTCCTATTTATTTATTTTTCTAAAATCTAAAATGAGATGTGTTTATACCATATTTAGGGCTTCGTATTTAGACCTCGTATAAATACTCGAGGGACTTAAATGTGATTATGTAATAAAGGAAGGGGCAAATATGTAATTAGGGAAGGAGCCCTTATTCTATAAAAGGGCATCCTCACCCTCACAAACCCTAAGCCTCCTCACATCCCCTAAGCTCTCTCTCCCTCTTCAACAGAGAAATATAATACAATCAGTGTGGACGTAGCCCAAACCTTGGGGTGAACCACGATAACTCTTGTGTCATTTGCATTTTATGCAGATTCACGGTCGGATTTACGTTGTACCAAGACCATCCGGTTTTGTGCATCAACATTTGGCGCCGTCTGTGGGAATCGACACAAAAAACTATGTCGGTTCTCTTTCATTTTTTCACCTCCGTCGTGGATCTGCAAAATCTGCAAAAAAAAATCCAACAACCCAGAGCTTTCCCAGAAATCTAGACACCCGCAGAAACCAATTTCTCTCTCTCTGTGACAACTGACCCGTGAGGCCACTCCCATTAAACATCTCTGAACTCTGTCTGATTCCCAATACGAAAAGCTACAATATAAATAGCACGCAGAGAGAAATAACAGAGATAGCGAGAGACTTCTGCAGGTCATAAAGTTTCATTTTTTATCGAAGAAAAGAGAAAAACGAGAGGAATTATAAGCATTCATATTGGGCAGGCTGGAATTCAGGTGGGCAATTCATGCTGGGAGCTCTACTGCCTCAAGCATGGAATTCAACCTGATAGGCAGATGCCCAGAAACTGAGGGTTCCATATCAGGCGATGAGGCTCTTCTCTGTGTCCGCGTCGCCATGGAGATCCAGCCACCTCTCCCCTCCAGGCCACCCGCTGCAAATCCACCATCTCCTCCTCTCCAGCTTCAGAGGCCTGGGCTGCGCCGCCTCCGCCTCGCAGCAAGTCTCTGTGCCGGAGGAGATTCCCCCATTAGGCTTCAGAGGGAATCCACATAAGGAATTACAACAGCTCGCGCCCTGAGACTTCACCACCACTGACCACCTCTCTCTCTCTATCCAATGCTCTCGCCTCTCGGAATGGCTACCATAAGCCTTGGGTTATTTCTGGTGCTGGTTTTTGCGATTGCGATCTGCCATACTGTTGCTTCTGTCTTCCAACCGATCTCCGACTCTCATCGATCCGCGGCTTCGGAGCTGTTCGCGCCTGCCGATGGATCGTACGGGTCAGAAACCCTGGCTTTGAAGAGGCTCCCCACAGGTTATTCAATTCTTCCCATGGTGTACTCCTCCCTCCAAAACGACTAGATGCGACATCCCCGCTCCCTAGCTAGATCATCGAGTCCCTCAAGGCCATAAAGTTCATCGACGCAAAACACTAAGGCGCAGTCGAGCTTGTTGCGAGGAGAGAAAGTGCCATAGCCCAGGTTCTTAGAACCGTTTCCAACAAGCTCTACAGCCTTTCATTCACTGTCGGTGATGCAAGAAACGGCTACCATGGATCAATGATGGTTGAAGCATTTGCTGGCAAGGAAACGCTCAAAGTTCCCTTCACATTCAAAGGAAAAGACGGGTTCAAGATGGCCAGTTTCAGGTTCAAAGCGGTTTCAATCAGGACCAGAATCACGTTCTTCAGCTCTTTTTACCACACCAAGGACTATGGAGCTCTTTGTGGCCCTATCTGACAACAGATTGGTTTGGAGATTTACAAGAGGTTGGCATACTCAATCAGCCTCCAGTTCATTATCACCAACTCCTCCTTTGAGTCCGCTCTCTCTGCAACCAAATCAAACTGTCGGTGGTGAGATCGGACTGCGATGAAAAATGCCCAACAGGAGCACATAGGGGACAACAGAAAAGCAAAAAGAAAGAGGAAAAAGAGAAGTGAGAATGGATGGGCACGACCAAAGCAAGTGGGTTTGCAAGCAAAAGATACCTTACAAAACAAGGTGGACAGAGAATGAGCGGGGAGATCAAGAAAAGCATAAAAAAAAAACAAAAGCAGACAAGGAAAAGGGAAAAGAAGAAAAACAAAAGATCTTATTATTATGATTCCTTATGTCTGCCAGATAAAGAGACAGAGAGAGTGCAACAGAAAAACACTACAAAAGCAAGGAATAAACACCCCACCAGAATGATGTAATTTGTTATCTTTCGAAGACATCTGTATAAACCCCATCAGAGGGTAATATGTATAAACCCTATCAGAGGGTAAAAAAAAAAAAAAAAAAAAAAAAACGGCAAAGCCCAAAATAAATGGGTTGAAATGTTGTGTAGAGGGCGAAGGCCCATAAGCCCAAAATAGCTCTAACCAGGCGATCAACAGTACGCCCAGTACTCCACAATTATTCGACAATTTGCCGATATTACCATTAACAAGGTGAACAAAAGTACGCCCAGTACTCCAACATTATTCAGGCAACTTGGCGCTATTACCACCAACCAGGTGATGAAATGTACAACTCGTACTCTAATATCATTTGGCAACTAGTCATTCATGCCACCAACCCGGTGATGAAATGTACAACTCGTACTCTAATATCATTTGGCAACTAGCCATTCATGCCACCAACCCGGTGATGAAATGTACAACTCGTACTCTAATATCATTTGGCAACTAGCCATGTATGCCACCAACTCGGTGATGAAATGTATAACCCGTACTCTAATATCATTTGGCAATTAGCCATTCATACCACCAACCAGGTGATGAAATGTACAACCCGTACTCTAATATCATTTAGCAACTAGCCATTCATGCCACCAATCCAGTGATGAAATGTACAACCCGTACTCTAATATCCTTTGGCACATTGCCACTCATACCACCAACCAGGTGAAGAAGGAACTTATCTTCATGAGCATGAGCACTACTCATGTCAATCATACATAAACATTCATGAGCATCACTCATATCAATCATACATAAACATTCATGAGCATCACTCATGTCAACATTCATGAGCATCACTCATGACAACATCCATGAGCATCATTCATGTCAATCAACATAAACATTCATGAGCATCACTCATGTCAATCAGCTTCAAAAGCTTCATTTACAGAGCTCCAGCTTCAAAGCTTCACTTGCAAAGCTTCACCTACAAAGCTTCAGTGCAGGGTATACAAATACCACATCCGAACAACCGCCACTTCGGCCCATACATGGATTCAATTTGAAGTTTCCAGCCAACAGACTCTATTGACCGAAGACTTGGGGGACTACATTATGTACCATATATTGGGCCTCAACTGGGCCTCATAAAAAATACTTGGGGGACTTAACCCATTACTTATGTATTGAGGAGCGAGCCTTTATTCTATAAAAGGGACTCCCTCATTTTCATTAGAGAGCACCCATTATTCATGTACTGAGGAGTGAACCCTTATTTTATAAAAGGGACTCCCTCACCATCATTAGAGAGCAACGCCGTCAGCTGAGCAACCGTCTCACCGCGAGCATTACTCCTAACCCATCATTCATGTACTGAGGAGCGAACCCTTATTTTATAAAAGGGACTCCCTCACCATCATTAGAGAGCAACACCGCCAGCTGAGCAACCGTCTCGCCGCGAGCATCACTCCTAACCCATCATTTATGTACTGAGGAGCGAACCCTTATTTTATAAAAGGGACTCCCTCACCATCATTAGAGAGCAGCGCCGCCAGCTGAGCAACCGTCTCGCCGCGAGCATCACTCCTAACCCATCATTTATGTATTAAGGAGCGAGCCCTTATTCTATAAAATGGATTCCCTCACCTTCAAACGCCGCAAGCCGAGCCAACCAAGGCAACATAAGCCACGAGCCGAGCAGCCTCACAGCGTGTGCTACTTCTAGTTGAGCGTCATTTCAGATTGAGCACTGCCTCATATCGAGCATCAGTTCAAGACAACATCTAGTTACTTCGGCCCACACATGGACTGAATTTCAAGTCTCCAGCCAAAAGACTCTCTTGACTGAAGACTTGGGGGACTACTGTTTATACCATATTTAGGGCCTCGTATTTAGACCTCGTATAAATACTTGAGGGACTTAAATGTGATTATGTAATAAAGGAATGGGCAAATATGTAATTAGGGAATGAGCCCTTATTCTATAAAAGGGCATCCTCACCCTCACAAACCCTAAGCCTCCTCACATCCCCTAAGCTCTCTCTCCCTCTTCAATGGAGAAATATAATACAATCAGTGTGGACGTAGCCCAAACCTTGGGGTGAACCACGATAACTCTTGTGTCATTTACATTTTATGCAGATTCACGGTCGGATTTACGTTGTACCAAGACCATCCGGTTTTGTGCATCAACAAGATGTAAAAAGATGCTCAAAACCCAAAACAATAATTAACTTTACATACAAAGAAAAGAAAGCATACATTTTGTATTCGCCTTTTTCTTACTTGGATTCAGATTAGTGATGACATCGTGCAACATTAAAATATACATCCACCTACCACTTAATACTACGGTCTAGTAGTATTTATTTTCACCTGCAAGTGAGAAGTCTTAAGTTCAATTTTCACCAAAAACGAATTTAAATCACATTATTGCTAACATATTATGAGACTAATCATATCCCCCTCCCCCTTAGGGCGCTTTTACTAATCCGTAATCAAATTGAGAGGAATTGAATTGAGGAGGAATTAGATTAAGGAGGAATTGAAATGAGGTGGAATTAGAATCAGATTCTTGTTGAAGTTGTTTACTAAAACTGTATGGAATCAGAGTATGAATGATGTTGAGTCCATATAAGTTGTTTATTAATTCACTTCAATCGGAATGAAAACTCGATTGATTACTATATTGCCCTTACACAAATAAATTATTTCCATACAAATTAATTAAATTAAATTCTTAATTAAATTTATATAATAAAATTCATCTATATAAAAATATATAAATAAGTTTTATTTATTTATTAAAATATGGCAAGAATGATGTTGAATCCATATAAATTGTTTACTAATTCACTTCAATAGGATTGAAAACTAGGTTGATTACTAAATTGCCCTTGCATAAATAAATTATTTTCATACTAATTAATTGAATTAAATTTATATAATATAAAATTCATCTATATAAAAATATATAAATAAGTTTTATTTATTTATTAGAAGATGGCATAATGAGTGTCAAATGAAGGGCAATGTTGGGATAATAAGAAACAAGAAATGGCATAATTGGTAAATAAACTCCATTCCGGATTCCTCAAGTCACAAGGAATTGAAATACTTACCTTATGTAGAGAGTCCAATTCCGCCAAAATTAGGAGTTGGATTCCTTAATGCGTGTGGACCCTACATATATTTCGATTCCCCAAGATTACGTAAACAAAGGTGTATCCCATAATCGGAATCCAATTGCGTGAATTGATTCCGATTACAAGTACTTAAACGTGCCATTAGTATAGATAATATTGTTTGTTAAAAAAAAATTATAAATATATATATATACATACATCCACCCATAGGCAACAACTAAATATATATTCATAATTATTATACTTGCATGCTTTGGGCTTAAGGGATCAGATTGATTCGGCATGAAATGATCAACGTCGGTTGTTCAACATGTTCACGAGAATGGTGAGGGCCCAATCCCCGTAAATAAAATTTGTTCTCGTTGATGCGGGAGAAATTATAGAGTGATACCGTATCACCGGGTCAGGGTTTACTTGAATCCGAAACTTTAAGCATCAGTAACAGCAGATAAAATGAAAATGGAAGGAAATATATCACAAAGTTTCATCAATGTGCAGCTACTTCGACCATCTCCTGCTCCACAGCCCCTGCGACCACAGGGTAGTACGAGTAGTGAAGCTCCCCTACGTCATCTCCCGAAAGCTTCTTCCATCCATTTGCTCCCACATGATATACTGATTAATAAAAATAATTTCATAAAAAATACAAGTCATGTATGTGCAGAAAATAAAACCCGAGAGAGAGAGAGAGAGAGAGATTTTTACCACTCGCAACACCGCCGCTGGCTCCATCACGGAATGTTGCATGATATATTGCTCTTCTAGCCAACTCAGCAGCTTCTTCTACAGACATATCATATCGGTACCTAACATAAGCAACTTTAGTTAGTAGAATGACGGGTGCAGAAAAAACTGTACAGTAAGATGATGCTTGCATACAAATAAAACTCCGCTACACTGAGTAGCTAGAACTCAGTATACATAATGTAAGATAATGATTGTGATTCTTATGTGTAACTAAATCCTATGCATTATTACTCTCGTGTTCAATCATTAAAGACAACTAGAGAAGACATTGCAGAAACAATGGTTCAACATTATTGCAACGATAGTCGAAAAAAAACTAGAGGGAAAGTACGCACCCATCATCCAGAACACCATAAGCATAAGGCGAGCCCGAACCAACAGAAAACCTCATTCCTTTCAAACGGCCTCCCTCACTGTCGACATAATACAATCCAGGACCCTGCACTCAAACGAGGATACACATTACATGAGTATAAATGACATCAAAAATTAATGGGACAGGATTTGTATCTCATTTACCGTTTCGTCCCAGCCTGCGATCATGGTCCCAACTGAGAGACCCATACCACGATAAGAGTAAAGAATGTTTGCCAGCAGCTTTGATGCTCCTGTAACTGAAATCCTCCGCTTATTTGCCAACTCATGCAACCGACACTGAGCCATAACAAAAGATTGGTTGTTGGTAACCAATAACCATATACTAAGTCAAAATAAATAGCACAATTGTCATTGTGAACGTCAATATGGCACCACTCCTATAAAATTTCATCAGGATAAAGATTCTTAAGCATATTTGTCATCCAAGTATACAGCACCAAAAAATTATAAATCCAGCCCTTCAATTTGAATCATAGCTGACAAGTCTAAAGTTTTTAAACTGCAAATTAACAAAACAGAATAGATGCACTACCTTAATCCCCAGATTCCTATGCCAAAACTGGCAGTCAGCAGCTCCTCCAGCCATTGTACCAAGCATGTAAGGATTGATTTCAATAATCTTCTTCACAGATTGTGATGCTGAAAAGATAAGAAACAAGATGGTAAATGTGAACCCATGTTCTGTATACAACGAAAGTAACATCAGTATGCACATAGCAGATACTCTCTAGGACACCTAAACTATTATGATTAAGAATATGTCAATTCGATGAATAGTGCACTTAATGAAAATCACTCTAAAAAGTGAACAATGTAAACCGGTATGCAGACATAACTGACACGAGGCAGGAAACCTAAACTAATAGAATATGCCAATCCGAATAATTTTCATAAGGATTCGACGTGATCATGGAGTGCCGGCTGTCGACTACCTGACGCCCTCCCCCTCCTCCTTTATCCGGGCTTGGGACCGGCAATGTAAGATAAGGAAATGTGAACGCGGTGAACAGAGCACTTAATCAAAACAACACTAAACTGTGAACAATGTACACCGGTATGTGGACGTAAGAGATACTCTCTAGCACTCCTAAACTAATAGAATATGCCAATATGCCAATACGATTAATGGAGCACTTAATCAAAATCATTCGGAAACGTAAAATAGATACATTTTCACAAACACTAAATAGTTTAAAGCATCATTACAAATTACCCCTACAAACTTCATGGCATAAAGCATACAACTATCTCATATATGCAAGCAATAGGAAAAAAGTAACAAAACATCTTACAGATATATCCGCCCATGCTGGCCCGAGAATCAGCAGCAACCATGACTCCATCCTTGAAGATGAACGCAAGTGTGGTTGTCCCCTTCGCCGGCTTCACCATCTGAATAGCTTCCTTCTGAAATCCATCAAACTGAAACAGCAGCAAAAAAACATAAAACCATATATTCAGCCAAATTCTACCACACAGAGACTAAAAACTACGGAAAGAGAGAGTAAAATGAACATCTAAGTACCCCATAGCCATACTTAGATCCATCTCGTACTGCAAATTAACCACAAATTTAGATAGATAGACATGTGAGTACAAACATAACTTAACCACAGAGAGTAAGAAGAGGGCCTGAAAATCGAAGTATACTGCGTGAAAACGAGGCAATAACTATGAACCAGGAAGTTCTAAAAATATATTCAGCAACTAATCAACTAATCAAATACAAAAACAGTATAACTTCGATCATTGAACAACAAAAAAACAATAACATCATCGAAAGAAAACGACGGCAGCAAGAAAATGTCCACCACCCACCCAGCACAGTCGTAGAGATCATCATATCGAGTAAATTACCCTTGTCATAAAATTTGGTGAGAAATCATAAATCAAAACCTCCACCAGAAATACCATAATCCACTTCACAAATCAAAAGATCAATTAATTAAATATCAGACACCCCAGTAAATCATAATTAACAAAACAGAAGAAATTTGAACACCCAGTTCATGAAATCAGAGCAACAAAATAAAATTCCAGATAATCAGGAGAAAAACAGGAAACTAGACAACACCCACTTTGCAAATCTCTCATAAAAAACTCACATCATTCGTCGTCGGAACCTCGAACGACGGAGGAGCCGAAACGCCGTCAAGAAACCCACTGCTCTCGCCGAACAGCGGCGCGCGTGACTCAAGACCGCTAGTGTCAAGCCTCATAGCTCTTAAAATCCTCTGAGACGCACAACATTAGACGAAAAATTAAAATCGCACATAAACCCTAGAAATCGAAAAATGGTGCAATCTGTGTCAAATTTCGAACATTCGGTAATGAACATCGAAAAAAAATTGGGAGAAATTAGGGATTGTGAAAGTACCTTGAGAGGTTGATGATCGTGCAGACGAAGACCAAAGAGGAAGAAGGGATAGTGAGATCGAGCTAAAAAGATACTGGTAGGAATGCTGCATATTTGTATTGGGTTTTGGTTTTCTTGTGCAGGAGGAAAAGAAAACTAAAGATTTGGGGTCGATGATGGGCTTTAAGTTGGGCCGATAAAATAGGCCCATGTCGGATTATTCGTCTCGCTTGACCACCTCAATAAGATTCCTCTTTTTTTTTCTTTCTTCATTTTTTACAGCCACTTAAATTATAACATCTCCAATTTATTAAGACAAAAGAAAAACGTTGAACCTGTAACCTACCATTGCCCTTCACTTATCATATTTATTTTAAATTAAAAAAAAAATCTGTAAACGGGTCGAATTCGAATTAGATTAGCCTTGACCTATATCTGGTTTCGTTTATAATTGAATTAACAGATTCGACACTTATCCGAATTATCGAATTTGACTTATCAATCTAGATCCAGTTAGCATCAAATTCAGATAGCCTCGTTCATTTATTTTTTTTCTATCTTTAATTAAGAAATTCATATTAAATCATAAGAAAAAAGAATACAAGTGTATTTTTATTGCATGAAGAATTAATCTACCAGCACACAAGTATAAATACTTAAAAAGTTAAATAATATATTAAATTTGGTGAAGCCCGAAAACGTATTTTAGATTAAGTTCGTAACAAGTATTTTAGATCATATGCAACAATTGAAAATGAATCTGAATCGTTTGCTTGTATTAAATAATTTAGAACATTCTAGCCAACACCTTTGTGTCCTTCATGTTGGGCTTTAATTTGGAAAGAAAGTAGAGCCACGTGTTGGGCTTTAATTTGGGTCCAAACGGTAGGCCCAATTGGTTTTTATATAATTAAATTGGGCTTTTTCTAACAAAAAAAAAGGGGATTAAAATAGGATATATCAAGAAAAAAAATTTAATAATTAAACTTTTTTGCTGGCTATGGGGTTCGAACCCATGCGCACTTATGTGCAGAAGATCTTAAGTCTTCCCCCTTAACCTCTCGGGCAAACCAGCAGATGGGAAGTTTTGTGCACTTTTAAATATATCATTGACTTATTTTTTATGATTTTTGTTTTTCTATATGCTTGTCTAGTAGTTTTCATGCATTGAACGTGGAGAGTACCAACACTTTGAAGATCACATGTAATCTATGACCCACCAATACAACCCCATAAATACAAGTTAGTTCCATATCTAATCGAATCTAATCTAATTGACACAACCAAATGATCAAAAGAAAAATGAACAATACTTAGGTCTTCGTCAATGATATATAGATGATATACAAAGTAATATTCTCTTGTTTGTAAGCCTTAAGAAGAGTCTTTTTACGTGTTTAGTAGATGAAAACTCGAGTTTTAAAAACGCGACAACATTTGTTAAATTATTGTTGGTTCATGTCATTGAATCGTAATATGAAATCCTAAACGATTAAAACCAAGTAAACATATTCTCCTAGAAGTACATAAAAGAAGATTTGGTGCATTTTATTTAGACCTCGATAAAATCTTGTAAGAGATTTCAACATAATCGAAGAGAAACGAGTGTCCCCCACTAATTACATATCAAAAGTATACTCTAATAGAGGGTCAACTATTACATCAAAAGGTTGTTCAACGCAGACTAAATCTTCCTCAACTATATATTGAATCAATTTTTGATGAAGTAGCTCGAAAGTGCAGCACGGAGAGAAACAATATTATCCAACTCCATGGACCAAATTAATTAATGTGAGTAGTCATTTCTTATGCATGCATGTTCAAAGTTCAAGCCCGAAGATAGTCAGATTTTTTAATTAATTTGTACTAAAATAATTAATGGCAAAAATGGAAGTTCAAAACAAAAAGAAAGTGACCGAACGTGGTCAACCCGAGACAGCCAAAAATATGGTTTTAGTTAGGACCACCCCCAATGATGATGTACTACAGATATGCATCGTTGTGATGATTAATTATAATTCGGCTCTTCGTTATTGTAACCTGCATGTCATGCTTCTCAAGTGGCATTTGCCGACAGGCGACATGCATTTTCTCACTTTTCGTTTTTCCTTTTTACCTCTCAAGGTAAAACAACTTCATTTTTTTTCAAAGTTGAACAAGTTGCTCGAAATGCTATTTCAACGATAGCAACCATTCTATCTTGTTAAGTAGAGTTAGCCGTATGAATTTTAAAACGTACTCTGCTCAATTTTTAAATCAGATTTTTCGTTAACTCTAAGTACTTCGTGTATCTAAGTACTTCGTGTATCTCCAACGTCAAAAATTGATAAGGAATTCTCTATTCAACTTTTTAAGGGAAAAAGTTTACACGTTTTTTTTTTTCTTTATGAGCACCATTATTTATTTAAGTTTGTTAATTTTTTTTTTAATTTGTTCAATGAAAATGATGTTCATGTATTATTTTCCTTTCTTTTAAGTGTTGTTTGTTATCATTAGCAATGGTTTCAGGCTTCCAATTTCGGTCATAGCTCAACAGTTTTTGGTCCCACCATTTGATCTTTCTAAATCTCCCCCATACTCTTTGGTCCAATTTGCCTCAGCCTTGTGCATTATTTGACTATTATTTCAATCATTCCTCGAGTATTTTCCTCCTTTTTTTGGTTCTTTATATGATTTAATTATTAGTACAGTATTAATCACTCTACCAAAATAGTCTACATTCTTGTTTTTTTGCTCACAAGTTTGATATTCTTGTTATTATTGGACAATTTTATGGTACCTTATGGTACGTAAGTATGGGGTATCCATTTTCTATTTTAATAAAGACCGCCAATAAGAAAATATCAACAAATGGCAAATAAATCCTAGCTTAATTAATTGCTGCTTTGAAGTTCTGTAGTGTGACAATCGTGTTGTTACTTATTCGTTTGTATTAAAACAAGACGGGTACTTCATTATATTCTATTAGTATTAGTTTACGTATATTATGATATGTGCAGACACTGTCGCCAATATTAATTTATATATGAAGGATGTAGGCTATAATAGTAGTAAATAATGTGAGATGTTTAATAAGAGTGACTCGCTTGGCATGTACGTGATGATCACATTGAAAAACCTATCAACAAATAGTTTACTTTACAACTATATATTTTTGGATAATCCCTATAAAAATGACTCCTTAAACCTCTTAAACATATTTGAGGTGGCTATGATATGCCTCGTGATATCGTAAGTTCTGGATTTATAATCGTATAATCTATCTTTTTTATATAGCAATTAGAATGTTCAAACCTAACTGTTTATATTTTAGACAAAACATGTATGTATGTGTATTAATTATATGCCTTCATTAATTATTTAGTTGATCTTTTAAGTGACTACATGCAATTATACAAGAAATGTGAAAACAAAGGGCTTTGAGAACTCTAACGTACTAGTCATGGCATATTTATTCTATATATGTAACCGTGTATTTACTATTTGCTACTCCAAAAAAGCATTATCTAGTTTGGTAATCCAAAATTGTGTTTCATCAATAATAATGTACAGGGGTCTCCAAGTTCATTGACTCTGACGTTGGATCTGCATTCAAATAGACAATAAAAACATGCACATGCAATCGTTTCAAATCTAAACATAATAAAACAAATACATATTTAATATAAGCAAACGCTAAAGAGACTCTCTCAAAGGTGAGACTCTTTTTGAATTTTCTGCCACTTCACAGTTTCATATCAATTCTCATGCCAACATTATGTACTGTGAAGTCTACTTTTAAGTTATTTGGTTTTCCTTGTCAATAGTTATAAATACTACCACATATGCTCTTAAATTGTCTCTGGTTTTTACAACTCAAGTATGGGTTCATCTTGCTGGATATTATGTCCGAAGGCTTTGGTCGAAGACAATTTGTCATCACAAAAGGTTTGATCATTCATATACATTCCATGCATAAACACGAGTTCCTTCTGTCTAGTCTTGTTGTTTAGTCAGAAAGTCACTGTTGTCCAACTGTCTGGACACGTTTTTTAAGTCAACCCACATGGGCTTTCTGATAGCTTTGTTCTACGTTGAAATCTCAACCTTAGATTTGCTTAGATTGAGCTCTGCAATGACAAATGTCTTTTGTCTTTGTTTGGACAAAAATTATGGCAGTTCCCATGTTAAAACCCTAGCTGCCTTCCTTGTCTCTTTGGCTATAACATTTTACAATCTTCAAAAAGTGAGTTTGAGCTTTGTGCCTTCTCGTCTAGTTGCCCAGCCACAAAATTATTCTTATGTATTTAACCTCAATGATGTATTTAACCTCAAGATCATTGTGCATCTAGGTTGCATTAGTTCTTTAGTTTTGTGTTGTGTTCTTGATCTAGTTTGTGAATTGATTTCTCAATCAGATCAAGTTTAGATTATAGTTGGTTCTTCCTTCAAATGTTTGATTGGAGAATCTGATTGGTTTTTAAATCCATCATTATCATATCATTTGCATTAATCGAGTTGGTTGTTAGTGTCACAAGGTGATGAGCTCAGGAGGAGATACCACTTCTTGAAGACCAAATGAGTTTATCTCATGTAAGGCAAGGTTGCATAAATGTAAAGCTGCTCCATAGATAGGGATCTAGGAGTTGAGCTTGTATGGTCTTTGTATAAACTTTTGTTTACACTAGTGGATTGGACACAGCGGTGAGTCCTTGATTTTTTTAACTCAAAGGTGGGTTTTTCCGACCAAAAATATCTTGTGTTGATTATTGTGTTTTTGGGTCTTATACTTCAATAATTGTATATGATATGCTATCACCATAACCTGCCCTTGCAACTAAGTTAATCAACGTTTGAATATGTACTGGAGTATAACTAAGTTAGCTGAGATCTTTTTCAGTAATTCAAGTCCTTAAATTGATTATTTCCGTTATTGTTAATCTAATCATTTCATCTTAGTTGACTGGTGTTGCTGACTAGTCAGACAAACACACATACATAATTTTTAAGTGCAGGCTAATCCATCTGGTATCAATTTCATGTACATTTTGTAAAAATGAGCCTTGGAAAGTCCTACTTTTGAAAAAGTTCTCTTAGCATTTTCGCTTAATATAAAGCCATAATTTTGGCTTTACATGTTCAGGAATCATGCATGCATGGACGGAGTCACAA